ACCCTATCCCCCGGAATTACAACTGCTCTCAAGGTTGACATACAATGGGGATTTCCTATTCCCATTTTAAGCTTTTGGATCTTAGTTCTGCAGTTTTTGTAGATAGACTTTCTAGCTGGGGAGGGTCTTAGTTGATCTGCGTTTATTCCAACATGAGTGTTTCTGATGCAACATCCCTACAAGGCTCTACAGGAACCTCCCTACAGATGGGAGACCCCTTCCATAGCAGGTCCCTAACGTGCCTGGGATTTGACTGAGGGTGTAATTCTACTGTTGCTACCACTACAGTGTTATCTCCAGAAGCACAATGATCGAGGAAAAGACAGTCTCTATGTAAGGAATGATATGTAATATGGATTAAAAGGCAGAGTGAGGCAAGAATTAGATTATATTTTTTAATATACTTAGATAAACTGTATCATGTAAATCCATTGAAGAATTACTTACAATGTTGTATGAATTTTAGAATAATTTGACCTTACCAGAAAGTAGAAAAAGTAATTTGGGACATAAGACTTAGAGATGTAATGATATAAGCATAATTAATGCTTAATAAACATCCAGTATATACTTACTTCCTTAAAATACTTTTTTTTTTTTGGTACTGGGGATCAAACTCAGGACCTTGCGCTTTCGAGGTAGGCACCGGAACCACTGAGCTAAATCCCCAGCCTCTTAAAATACATTTTATAAGCCAGGAGTGGTGGTGCACACCTGTGATCCCAGAATTCAGGAGGCTGAGGCAGGAGAATCACTGCAAGTTAGAGGTCTGGGCTACATAATGACTTCAAGGTCAGCCTGAACTGCAGAGTGAGACCCTGTTTCAAAAAAAACAAAATAATAGGCCAGGGATGTAGCTCAGTGGCGCTGTGCCTGCCTGGCAAACTCAAAGTCCTGAGTTTGAGTCCCAGTACTGGAAAAAACCCAATAATAATAATAATACATTTTATATATAGAAATTTTTATTTATTAGGAAATTCATGTTGGTCACTAGTAGGGTTTCAGTAAAAATCACAGCTCAAAGATGAGAGCAGCTTTGAAAACCAAAGGAGTGGATATACATATCTGCTCCTTTGAAAAGATGTTAGTATGTTAACTTGCACTTTTTTTATTGCTTTCAAATTTCTGTAGCTTCTCCTGTTCTTTGTGCCATAAAATTCATGAGTTTTGCACAGCAAGAAATGACTTCCAACAGTTACTTTTCATTGTTGAGACTGGTGACACCCGTGTCTGTCAGGTGGCTTAGATACCCATAAAACCACTGGTTCTTCACCTACAGGCTGACAGATGTCACTACTACCCCAGGGGTGGCATGAACACCCTCATTTGGGGAAGTGGGGAATCGGGAAGGAAATATTCATAAAACAAATCTGCAGAACCATTCCTTGGCCTGGACACTTCTGATACCTTCCCACATAATCTTCATCCCTTGAACCTTACGTAGTGGACCATCTCCACTGTTGGTTGAACTAAATTATGCCTTTTTGCAACTTGTGCACTGATCAGAATTTTACCCTCTCCCTTTCAAATATTTGGAGTTAACAGTCATGTTCCTTCTAAGACATCTCCTAAACACTTGTATTTTTATCACTAAAATGTGTACTTGTAGTGGTGCCAGAGCTAGGAGCAGAATGATGAACAAAATGTCCATCTAAAGCCCAACAAAGGGAGCCCCAGTTAAAGAGGAGCTTTCTCTAGAGTATGGCAATGGCTATAGGACTTCACTCAGAGGAGGTGGGTGACAGTGAGGAGAAGATGGGAACTAAGAGGGGACCTGATGGACAAGTAAGTAACAACCACACAAGGACGGGAGGCAGAGAGGCATTCCAGACAGAATAACATGAAGAATAGTCCATTCAGAAAATTGCTAATGTGATATTTTACCAAGTTTAAAGCATGAATTAGTATGTTATTTATTTGTTGGAGTATGGATTTGAAGAGTCATACTAGACATATTAGACACTGGACTTTGAGTTATGGAGAAGTCTTTGAAGAGTTTCCTAGGAGAGATGTGATACTGTAAAATGTATATTTTAGGATTGTTAGTCTAGTAAAGAATGATGTGGGAAGAAGAGAGGTAAATTGGCGATGGTGATCAGAGTGGAGAAAGTAGGTTGAGCTAAATCAGAGATACCTCACTTCCTGTCCTGAAGCCATGGATGTATGGTGATACCATTCACTGACCTAATATATAGGACATGGAGCAGAGTTTCAAGGTGGAGGGAAATGGTATAAAAGTGATCGCCTTTGAAAGTGTTGAGTTTGGACAGACAGTCAGACTTTCAGTTCTAGAAGGTAGATGGATATAGGGCTCTACTGCCCAGGAAATCTAGATATACAGATATAATTGAGTGAAAGAACATAGAAAGTCAGGAGGGCTGAGCAAGTTAGGGGTAGTGCATACCTGTATTCCCAGCACTCTGGAAGGCTGATGCAGTAGGATCTCAAGTTCAAAACCAGTCTGGACAACTGAGCAACTTAGGGAGACCCTATCTCATAAACTATAAAAGCACTGGGATGCAACTTAGTGGGAAGACCCTGGGTTCAATTCCCAGTACTGGGGACTGAGGATAGATCACTAAGGAGTACCAAATCTTAAAAATAGGCAGAGAAAAAGAGGACCCTTCGGAAAAACAAGTCATAGCCAGAGAAGAAAGGTAAAAGCCTGGAGCATGTAATGTCATGAAATCCCACTGTTAAAAAGGAAGGAAAGGGCCGAGGATGTAGCTCTGTGGCACCGCACCTGCCTTGCAAGTACAAGGTCCTGAGTTGGATCCCCCCCCCAAAAAAAAAGGAAGGAAGGGTTAATAGTGTCAGATTGTGCAAGGAGGACAAGGTATACAAAGATCTCTGTCCATCAAGCTCTGTCCATCAAGTTTAGCTGCCAGCATGTGACTGTCTCCTTGTTGTTTTCATATGGATCCTCTCTATGCCTCTTGACCCTAAATAAAATGTACCCCAAACCAAATAACACTGAATGTTGGAATCCATTATTGTTTTGTAATCTGAGCATCATTCGTCTAGTAATAGTCCTAAAAGCATTGTTATGCAATCAGGTAATTCCATCCCCGTTGTAAACTCATACTGTGCTTGTGGTCAACTATTCAACTATTATTAGGTCTTTTTAATGTGACCCTCTGTCAAATGAGAATAAATAACAGACTCTTTAAAACTTAAGGGTTCGACTTTGCTCCAGTTCCTTTTGTTGATTTCAGGGCACTTCTATATATTTTAGTCTTTGAATAGCCAGCTATTTTCATAGTGATAATAAAATTAGTAACCATATCTGTGCAAATGCAACAGAATTGTCTATGTAAGAGATTCTTACATATCCCTAATTGCCTTGAAACAGACGAGTAAGCATCAGTGTATTTTATCATCCAAACATCCTTAACAAACACCTCTTTGATGTGACAGCAAATATTGGGGAAACAACTATTTATTAAATAAACTGTTAGGTGGAGGAAAGTGTTGTTTAGAGAGAGAAATACAGCTTTCTTGATTTCTAATTATTGGTTGACATTAAAAGGTAACCACAAGGTTACCCACGTGTCAGAACTGTGGCAATGTTAGCTCTTCAGAATAATGAACTCGCTAATAAGAAAGCAGAATTCTGAAAAACAAAGGAAATTGTGAGCCAGCTCATGCATACTTCTTCATAGGAGAAAGTAGTGACCATTGTGGCTCAGTTTGTGTCTTGTGTAAAAAGACATTGATTAGACACATTCATTTTTTCTAGAATTCTTACAGTCCACAGTAGCTTAAGGTCTTATAGTGGTTTAAAAGTTTATTATGTTTGGAAATAAAATATAGAAGAGTATAGGATTATGTTTCATTTTATATTTAAAATATTGAGCTGGGCATGGTGACACACACCTATAATCCCAGTATTCAGGAGGCTGAGGCAGGAGGATCACCATGAGTTCAAGGCCGGCTGGACTACACAGCAAGACCTTGTCTCAAACGGGGGGTGGG